ATTCTGGGCTCAGTCCCTCCCAACTCCATGGCTCGTTTCTTCCAAGGTAAGGGACTGCCTCCCCTTCAATTATCCCTTTTTGGCCACCCTATACTCTGCTTTGTGGAGTGGCAAACAGCCCCAGACCTACATAGCTCTAACTAACTTAGTACTATTATTTGATAAACTGTTCTTCTTTCCTTCCTTGACTTTGCTTTTCTCTCAATTTGTGACAGATTGCAAGATTTAAGACCTTTTCTAGCTCAGGGTCTGGATTAGCTGACCCAGCCTGTTCCTCTGCCACTTCATCTGTGTGCTCTCTTCATCTGATTTCTGTGGTGGCTGAGTGTTAGACTGGTGAAGTTGTTATTTGCATAAATTCACTTCTTTAAGCTTTAAGAGCTTTTAGAATGATAAGCAACTTCACATATGTTTGTAAGAGGAGATATGTATTAGTTTATAGTGGCAAAAATTCAGGAGGAGTCTGATAGCACCTTTTCTGATTAAAAAGGTGTTAAGCTTTCATGAGCTGCAGCTCCCATCATCTCTATGCATCTGATGAGATGAGCTGCAACTCATAACATGTATGCCTTTTTAATATTTTGTTATCTAGAAAAAGTGATATCGGACTCCTGATTTTTTTTGTCCAAACACCTTTTTTTCCTGTGCGACTAGAATAATACATTCAGGTTTTGACCACACTTCAGCTTTATCTTCGGAGAAAGAGGGGATGATATCTGCTTTTTCTTAACTTTGGACCAGTAGTTTATCAATCCAAAGTACTAATTTAAACAAAAGCAGGCAAATTTTTGCATATCAATTAAGCAACAGAGTAAAAAAAGATGAGGGTAGTAAACAAATGGAGGTGTGAGATCATAAATCAGAACATTATCATGCTAATTGGAAACTTTCACTAAATTTCATTAAATTTTTCAGAAATCAAATACAGCTAGTCCTCCACTTACAGTTTGTTTAGTGACTGTTCAAAGTTACAATCACTGAAAAAAGACTTATGACCATTTTTCACACTTATGACCATTGCAGCATTCCCATGATCACATGATGAAAATTTCCAACTGACTCATATTTATAACGGTTGCAGTGCCCCGGGATCATGTGATCATCTGTTGCGACCTTCTGACGAGCAACATCAATGGGGAAGCCAGATTCATTTAATAGCCATGTTACTAACTTAACAACTGCAGTGATTCACTTAACAACTGTGTCAAGAAAGATAGTAAAATGGGGCAAAACTCACTTAACAAATGTCTCACTTAGCAACATAAATTTTGGGACTCAATTGTGGTCATAAGTTGAGGACTAGATGTAGGACTAACTGAGTTATGGCCAACTGGGGGAGAGCCTATTTAACTCAAACTGCAAACATTTAGTTTGATTTTCTCATTGTTGTTGAACTGAGTGCTATCACACACCTAGATTAAGAGAGTTCCATAAGGCCTTCAGAAAGAAAGAATGAAAGTAAGTGGAAGATAGGAATGAGCACCTTACCCCTCCAAAATGACATTTTAAAGTACATTCTATAATTCCTTACTTTTATTGTTTTATCGCAGAAGCAACAACAAAATACAGATAGTCTTCAATTTATGATTGATTGCTTATCGACAATGTTGCAATGTTACTACAAAGTTACGATGGAGTTCCCAAAAGATACTTACAACCCGGCTTATGTTATCTGCCCCTTGTGGTTCATATGATGGCATTTTGGCTGTTTGCATTATCTTGCAGTCACTTGATCACAATTCATGACATTTTGCTGAAAACCAGTTTACTTCTGGTTTTCAACAAAAGTACCTTATAGGGAACAATGGGTTCGTTTAACGACTGTTGCAAAAAAGGTTGTAAAATTGGGGCCAGTCATGTGATGACCTACTTTATGACTATCACAACTGACTACCATAACGGATAGGCTCCATTACAGTCATAAGTCAAGAATTACCTGCAGTATTTTATACAGATCAGAGCCCTATGCCACAATTGTGTTGAAAGGACAGAGGTAGAATTATCTATGTCATTTGTTGATGAAAATTCTCAGTCATCCACATACAGTTGTCTGGAAGTTGAATCATGGCAAGTAGACGTGTTTTCTTTTTCGTTTCAAACATCTCACTGTTTATCAGCTTATAAGACTGAGGAAGTTGATGGATGTTTCAAACAAAAAAGAAAAGAAGTCCACTTGCCAAGATTCAAATTTCCAGATGTAATTTGGTTCCTAAACAATTGTTCCTTATTCTGAACAACCTGAAAAATGCATTAATATTTTGAACACTATTTCCTCAATGCAGAAGGAAAACATCTATTATATTGGTATCTTGATAGTATCTGCAGGTAGCATGCCCCATCAGTTTATATGGAATATATTGATTCCAAATTGGTAATAGCTCAGTTGCTGGAATTCTTGTTAAGTCCATCCCATTTATCTCAGCAAATCTTTTTCAAGAGAACTCTGGAAAAATCGGGCTTGGGAAAGAATCTATGGTTTTAAGCAGCTGCCAAAGAGCCTGACACCATATGTGCAAACAGACAACATGTAACTGGATACATCTGTTGATCATCACAGAACAAGCCTTGGTAATTAGAAATTTCATTAGGCATCTAAATTATACCAATAAAACCTCAGATGGCACAGTAAAATCATCATTCCTACAGACTTTAGATTTTTTTTTTACATGGCCAATTTTATAGTCTAAAGAGCAGCTAGTCAGGACTGGACTAAAAACGTTAAACGTTTTATCATGGCTTTTTAAAAAAGGACTGCAAGAGCAAATGATCACAAATGCTAAGGAAAACATTTAATAACTATATAAAAATAGTAGGCAAAAGTCCTATTCTGAAAAATTAAAACACTTTTACTTGAGAATAATAATTAAAGGGATTATCTTTAAGAACAAAAATAGATTGCCATTAAAGCAAGCTGCAACATCATCTTGGTTACAGAAAAGCATCTGATATTCTATCCCATTCTTTTTAGCAAGCAAGTGTGCACAGAATGGCAAAACATAGTGATACATAGTTGACTTGAAAACTGTACTTGAGTACTTATTGTTTTCTCATTAAATTGGAATAAAGTACTATTTGAGATACCACAAAGTTCTCTTCTGAACCTTTATTCTTCAGTAATTTTATTCATTATAGATAGTCTTTGTTTAATGACCATTTGTTCAGCAACTGTTCAAGTAATGGCAGCACTGAACTAACGATAATTACAACGGGTCCTTGAAGGTATGGTTGTCACAGCATCAATGTGGTCAAATGATCAAAATTCGGGCACTTGGAAGCCCACATGCACTTTCGACTGCAAGGCCGTTTCAATACACATGCACACACCCACCACTGCCATCACCAGCTGATTCTTTGCGGTCTTCTTCCTCTGCTGCTGGCCCAGAATCCAGATATGGGTGAGCATGCAGCCGGTGGCTGTATGCACTGAGCATGACATGGTGGCAGAGTTTCATCTGCTATAGGGAGCTTGTAGGCCTGGCCTGGAAGAAGGCCGTGGGACAGGATGGTGAACTGCAGCACTCTTGATCACCAGGTGAGGAAGGAAAGGAGGTGGCGCCCCAGATGAAACTGTGCCTGAGGCATTATTCAGGGTGGCAGCAGAACTGGAGGAAAGGTAGGGAAGATACCTTTCCAGAGGTGAAGTGCAGGCTCTGCAACTTACATTGGAAGTGCACCTGGAAGCCCAGCCTGCAGAGCTTTAGCGAGAGTGTAGGCAAGCCCAGCGCCAAAAAACCTATCTGCAGGCCCTCTGCTCACTCTTAGCCCAGCCTTCCTCTTGCAAAGCCTTGTGAAGAGCCAGCAGATTCTAATACATTGAAGCCAGCAGGCTGGTTCCCCAAGGGCACTTTCAGCAAAGGTCAGTTGGGGGTAGTGGGGTAGGTGGCAGAGTGCAGAAAAGCAAAAGAAGTCAGATATGGGAACAGGGAGAGACAGGTGTGTCAAGAAGTTGAAGTGGAAGCAAACACAGATCAGGAGAAGCATGAAGTCCTGGACTAACAACAGTGTGGGCCTGGCCTGACAACAAAAACTGGAACTACAGGAACTGCCATCACTATGTGGTGCAATCATCTTTCACTTAACAACCACTTCCAATAGCGATAGAAATTCCAGTCCCAATTAGGGTCATTAAGTGAGGACTACCTGCAAGAGCATTAAGAGGAAAAACCAATGCTTACGAAAGATAAATATAATAGAAAATTGGGTGGAATGGCTAATAATCTAAAAGATAGGAATAAAATGTAAAATTAGATTAAGGAAATAGATTTAAACCATCAGAGAAAAATGCCAAGTTGTTCATTTGAGTAATAGAAATAAAGTGCAGAGATATAGAATGTGAGACCTTTCTTATTAACTGGACTTGTAAAAAAAGATGATGGAATAATATTTGATCGAAAACTGAGTATGAGTCAGCTGTATAATATGGCTGAGAAAAAGGGAAATGCAAATTTAGACTGCATCATCAAAACAATTCCCAAATCTCCAAGTTGTACTTTATTCTACAAGGATAAAGCACCTCAAGTGCCATATGCAATCCTAAGAATTTGGAGATACTGGAGCAAATTCAGAGAATAGGAATGATCAGGAGACTAGATACATACAGCTATGAAGAAAGTCTAAAGGAACTAAGTGTTTTAGCCTTGAGAAGAAAAGACTAAAAGAACTCTTAATACCTGAAAAGATGTTATATGGAGTCCCAAAAGTGCTTTTCCAAAAGTCAATTGGTCTTTCACAGTGTCTTACTTCTCATCCAAGAAACTTCTTTAAAACTGAAAAAGTTTCTTGGAAGAGAGGTGAAATGTTTTCAAAGAAAAAAAACCAAGAAAGTCCAATTACTTTTGAAAAAAGTACTTCAAGACAACCATGACCTGGATGATTGAGAATGTCCATAGACATGTTATATGGAGAGATCACCAAATTCTGTTTCTATTATACCATATGCAGAACATGAAATAAAGGATTTAATTTAAAGAAAAACAGATTCCAACTGAATCTTTAAAAAATTTCTTAGCATTTCAAACAATATTTTAATTACTTAAAGTACTGGTAGGTTTTTCTTCACTCAATTGTGTTCAAGATCAAGGTTTGTTTGTTTCATGGGAATGCTTTTTTATTGACTGTTGATCCAGTTTTCAGATAACTGTAAAACACGAAGATTGGAACAGCATACAGATTAAAATGAATATTTAAGTAATGGGAACAAAGGAGAGTACATAATCTATACCCTTTCTACATTCTAAACACAGTCAATATCTTTCCTCTAACATGAAAAAGTGAAGCTAGCCTGAAGGTATAAGCTAACTGGTTTTGTAAGATTTATACCTTAACCTATACATGTAGGATGAGTTATGCAGCCTAATTCTATAAATGTGCTTATTACCTTTTTATTAGATTGTCATAATGATTTGTATACTCAATAAATTTATATACAAATTTACTATGTGGATTCATTTCTACATTTCTAGTAATCATTATGATCTTGATTTTTCTCCATAGGCAAAAATATAACACTTTATTTTTACATAACACTTAGCAAAGTCAGCCTAGTAATTCTCCCCCCCCCCTAATTTTAACATAGTATTTTTATTTGATTTATATCCTGCATTTTATTGAGGAGCTTGAGTTGGCAGATATAGTACTTCTTCCTATTTTCCTCTATAACAATACCCTTTGAGGCAGTCTAGAGTGAGAATGAATGGTCCAGAGCCACTCAGTAAACCTTTGGGTCAGAACGTGAAGGTGGGTCAGAACATCAAGTGTTTTTAGTTATAAATTTAAGTACTTCTTGGATTAATCTTGCCTCCATTAGAACTTGCTTTTATGTAGTTAAGTAACAAGGCTGGCATTGGAAGGCAAAAGCAAAAGAACACAAAAAATCGTTGAAAATTAGGATATTATACTAATTAGGATATTATCTAATGATAAGAATCTAATGAAAATCAAGATGATTCATCCTACAAACTGGAGGAAGAATTTTTCCTTTTTGATCTCAGTACAAATAAGGATTGCCCAACAGCAAAATATACATAAATGCTTTACTACATTTACTATTCCTTCACTTTATTATCCAATTTTAAGGAAGAATCATAGTGGTAGTCCTTCTTAATGAACTGGAAATAGACAATTCCTTAGAATGCTCATGTCTGCTTGTTGTCCTGTACACATAAAAAGCAATGCAACTGCACCACAACTTGGGGTTGTAAGCCACAGTCACATTACAAAAACATCTTATTCTCATGAAATCCCTTTCTCTCCAATTTCTCCAAGGAGGAGAAAGAATGGTATGGCAAAGGAGAGAAATTACTCTCCCCCTTTGCAAAGCAGAGAGATTGGATAGAAAACTAAAGCCAAGAAAGAAAGAAAAAGATCTCAGCAAGGAACTTGACAAAAAATTTTTTAACAGAGCTATTTGAAGTGACAAAAGCAGTATTAGAAGATTTGCAAAACTACCGAAGATGGAAATGGACACAGAAAAACAAGGAATGACTCCAAGTCAGGAAGAAGTCCCAGCCTTCAATTAGCATGCTAAAAATGTCAATGGACAGATAATAATTGTCTCAGTTAAGATTACAGATGGAAGGAGCGTACTGAAAATGTGTACATATATCATCATCCATGATACTTTAGAAGATATTCCATTTACAGGAATATACGACAGATTGAAAGAGATCTGTCAAGTAACTAATCAAAGAAAGAACCCTTAACAGAATGTTCGAATAACTGCATAATATCTTTAATGCTAGCAAAATAATTCTTAGGACTATCCAATGCAAATTAGAGCTCTACAAAGAAAGAGAGATGCCAGATATTCAGTATGTTTTGTCTGAAAACCAAAGACATTACTGCTAATGTATGCTGGATATTTGAGAAAACCTAAAAATCTAATAAGTGTTTAATTGACCATAGAAAGGCCTTCACTTCTTTCAAACTGTGTCAAGCTGTGAATGCCCTTAAGAAAATGAGAATCTCAGAATATCTCTCTGTCCTCACATAAAACCTATGCATAGGACAAGAAGTCATGGTCTGGGGAGAATATGGCAAAATATTTTAGGTCAGCATAGGAATGAGGAAAAGGCTGTGTACTTTCTCTTATTTATTAACCTATGTGATGAATATATTTTGAGAAAGGATACATTGGAATTAGATGAGTTTTGTGTTAAAACTGGAGGAAAAACTTTCAATTATTTGCATTATGCTGATACTACTCTCAGCTGCAAATCTAAGTAAAATCTAATAGAAAATGATTAGATCTTACAGTGGTAATCTGCAAATTCTAGTAATGAAAGTCTAAAAGCATAATGAAAAAATTGTACCATTATATATAATAAAGATCAAAGTGATACAGCAACCAGATTCAGAACTGACAACCAAGCGATAGATAATTTCTGCATTTCCAAATCAACTATTAACCAAAAAGGAATGCAAAGGCTCTTATGAGAATCAATTTTAACTGTCAAGTTAATGATATCAATACTGTACCTTAATACTCTCATTGCTAACTATGATTTTTTAATATATATATATAGGTTCCTGGTGCTGTAAACTATTATGCTACTGAGGTATGCTGGATCCACTCTACTATTTAGTATTTGTCCCAGTATTTAAAGCAGACATCATTTAACACGGTAAGATCTAATCATTTTCTATTAAATTTTATTTTTGAAATGGGATGCCATTAAAAACGAACATGGATACTTTAAAAAAAAGTTATATTTATTTCTTCTGAGAAGTTTAAAGCTAAGATACTGAATCTCAATAGTTTTGACAATATGGAAGATAAAAAGGAATGTATTGAAAATATTTTACAATTATATTTAGATTAGAAATATGCATAAAGTAATGCAATTGGGTCAGAAGCAAAGAACAAATTATTTTTCCCCCAAATTATAAAAGTATTTAATAACATGTAAGCAACAAAAATATCAATTGTCTGATCTAGGTCTAATTGCATAGTTTTAAATAATCCCAGTGGAACCCAGTGGGTTAACTAGTTTTAAATAATCATCTATAAACTAATTAACCCACTGGGTTCCACTACTTTTATATATGAAGTGAAACCCAGGGTGTGTTAGCTATTTTATATGTCTCAAAGTATATCACAATGAAAGGAAATGATAAAGATGAATATCCACATTTATACATATATCCATAAAACATTTCAATAAATACCTTCTTTTGGGCCAGAAGCCTTAAGTAGAGATATGTAGATATGATTTCCTTTAGTAGTTCAAGTAAGATTTAAATCCATATTTAATAAATATCAGTTTCATATTTCCTTCCATAGTGACTTAAGTAAACAGGTAAGACAAGAAACACTAATCCTCCCAAACAACACATTTTTTAAAAAAAACATCTCTGTATGCTACAATAGATGCCCTCTTCCATCACTGCCTCCTTTTCTGATGTTATGCATTTTCCTTACACAACAGCCTCTCAGATCAGGTATCAAATGTTGCCAGGGTATCACTGTCCCTTGTTTTTCCATCATCTTCTTGTCTTCAGCTTCTGTTCTCTTCCCGCCCCCGCCTCCCCTTGTTGCCCATCACCTGCTCTCCCTCCCAGACCGCCTTGTTCTTCCAGGTCAACTCTTTACACACCTTCCCTTGCCTATTCATGCAGGGTGTGTTTATGAGCGAGGGAGGTGGTTAAAAAAAAAAGAAAAGAAAGAAAGCCATGTCAAGGCAACCGATATTTCGCCGTCGACGCAAGGGGGAGGGGGAAGAGGCGGATGGTTAATTGATAATTAATATTCTTCCTGTTCACGCTCAAGGTTCTTTCCCAAGACTGGTACAAAACACGCACGAACAGCCTTACAGGGGTTCCCCGCCTGTCTCCCATCCCCGTATCCACCTCGAGAGTGACTCGCCGCATTGCTAGATCACAAAGGCCCGGCCTCACGTATCTGGAGGGCCACGGCAGCTCATCCTCTCCCTTCCCGGCTCCGGATCCAGGCGAAAACTGACCGCGGCGCACCTCTGCCGCCCCACTCCGCGCACGCAGCAGCCCTTTCACCCTAAACGACCCTCACACACCCCCCCCACCCACCTCTATCGCCTTTCCTTTCCCAGGCCGGCCTCTCCCTACAATGACAGCCGCCCTATTCAATTCTAAGGCCCAGCCTGCCCGCCGCAGGTACCCGGTTTCCTCCCCACCACACTTCCTTCGCTTCCCCCCCCCCCCGTCTCCCCTTCCTATTTACCTAAAGCCACCTCGCAGGCTTTGCGCAGCTGGGAATGATGCGCCTTCTTCACCTCCTTGTCGGCCAGGATCTTCTCCAAAGCCCGTGTCAGGAACATATTCTTCGTTTTCTTCCCCTCATACATGAGGGCGCGCTGAAAGTGAGGGGAAAGGGGAGGATGAGCGGGGGGTGACTCTCAGGGCTCCGCCGGCTGAGACCCGAAGAGACTTCCCGGGAAAGCGTCTCTTTCCCCTCTTCGGACGAAAACGAAACCCGGCTCTGACCAGGCGGCTACCGCAGCCCCTGCTCGACGCTGAGGAGGGACGAATCGGGTCTCACAAGAACGCAGCGCTCCCCGTTTGCCTCAGCCTCCATTAGAAGCAGCGGCAGAAGCGAGAGCGGCAGCAGCAGCGGCGGCGGCGGCGAAAGCAGCAGCCTCCCGTCCTCGCCATGTTGGAAGGAAACGACGTCAAGGCCGGAGCCGAGTGGGTTACAGAGGGAGGAAGCGGCAGCGGCGTCGAGGTTGCTACAGCTGCTGTTGCTTCAAGGCCGGGAAAAGAAGGCGCAGCCGCAAGCGGGCTGGGTGGAGGTGGGGGGGGGAGCGAGCGAGGGAGCAAATAGCGGCGCTACCAGTCGCGCAAGGTAGCGAAGGGGAGCTGGGACTGGCTGCTGGCCGCGCGCAACAGGTGCGAGGAGGGAGGGGCCTGGGATTCCTCTTCAGAGAGAAGGGACGGAGGAAGCGATCCGCCTTCTCCCGCCATATTTGATTCCTCTGAAGACTCCGTCGCCCAGGCCGGCTCTTCTCTCCGGCGACTGAGAAGCGGTTGGAGCTTCACTTTCTTTGCGCCTATTCGCCCCACGATGGAAAAGAATTTACCGGCGTCTGGGACACCACTCGACTCGACCAGGCTGGGATTTTTCCCCCCTCATTCATTTGGGCTGTAAAAAGAATATTAATATTTCGGGAAAATCGTGTTTCTGTGATCAAGTGCTTCCTTCGAGGAACGGCTACGGAGCTGGTTTGTAGTTTAGATGCCTGGCGGACTTTGGCGGGATGCCTTTTCTAGTCCTTTGTGTTCCGTTTTAATATTTTGAATCCTTATTCGCAATACTTGAGAATTTTTGAATACTTATTCTCAAGTATGTGTACATAAATTCCCGCAGAAGGGTGTGAGGGCATCTTTAGTATTCACAAGATTGATTAAACTCTGGAATATTGTGGACTCGATGCCGGTCTTCAAATGCAAACTTCATGTGTTAAACATATTGTGAAGTTTTTCGAGCTAGTTTTGTTTTGTGTTATATAGAAAGACAGTGTTAGAATTCTATATCCTGTAGTGGAGTTACTAACCCAACTACTTGAATGTTAAAAGTAAAATGTTACCACCTACTTCAGAGGGTTGCATCCTTTTATTTGCAACAGAATAGACAATTTGTATCTGGAAATTTTATGAACAAAGAGTGAAGGAGATCACTTTTTTTTTTTTTGCTAAATTGTGCTACCTAGAAGAAAAAGTTTGGGAATTGGCTAGGTAAGACTTTTGTAACGACCAGCTTTTCTTGCTCAATCCTATTTATCCTTTGAAAACTTGAATAGATTCTTATTCTAAAGTTATTCACAAGGCAGGATGGACATGGAATATGATGGGATTTTTAAAAAAATTGTTTTCTAACATTTGCTCTAGCTTAGAACCGATATCTGAAGTGGGAAGCATATTTTCAGTACAATACATCCATAGTTCAGTTTTAGTTTAAACATCTGCTGGATGATAATGACAACTATTCTTTGCCCGAAACATTGAAAAATTGATGTCAATTGAAGTGGACAGTTAACTGCTTTTGTCTGTGCTATATGTATATTGTATATAAAGAAGCTTTTTTATTATACAAAGAAGAAAATTACTTTGACTTTTTCCCTACATTACATTGGTACCTATTGGTTCTGAAAAGATTATCAACTATCATTGATGTAGTTGCAGAATATGGTTATTCAACATGAATCAGTGTGCAGACAATTTTTGAGATTAATTGAAACCTCTGGCTGAATATCCAATTTTGTCCAGTCAACCCGACTCTACTAACTTTAAGTTTTTCTCTTCCCTTGGAAATTGACTGTAGAGCAGAAGCTGGCATTATATGGATTTTTTTGTACCATTCCTAATTTCTTTACAGTATGAACAAGCCAAACAACTCATAAAAAAGAAAAAGAGATATGAAGTTTCAGATTGAAGTTAATAGGCTGCCCCAACATGGCAGAAATTGAATAAAAAAGGACACTTGGGATATAGCAAGATATTTATGAAATCTAAATTTCCCTAAACAGAAGATAGCATTTTTTAAAGCCAAACACATCATGTTACCAAATAATGTGAAACCCCATTAACCAAGCATGCCCTTGTGATTGAATTTATTTCTCACTTATTATGTTGTAAATTCTACAGGGATGCTAAATGTGCTTCTATTTTGCTCCTAATATGTAAATGCCAGAAAGGTTATGTGAATCTTCTAGCAGATTCAGAGCACTTTAAAACGTGTGCTGAAGCCAAATTCTGTGTTGCCACAATAAAAATGAGATATAACTGGTCACAGAAATAGTTTTGTTTTAATCATCACTTCAGGTTTAATGCATGTTATCTATTTTGTTTTGGGTGATATGTATACTTACCTCATAGATTATAATATTTTATATATTCACTGGTAACCAACTCACTATTATAATGTAAGTTACATTTTTAGGGTAGAGATCTCTTGTATTTTATCTTACCCATTTGATTTTATTGTTGTGTGGTATATTTTTATGTTTTGCTGATCTTTGAATAAACAGTATGTCAGTTCATTTTTGTTTGTGCATTAGCACATGCAAGTTATTAGCTAATTGATTGTGTGCTCTTGGAACATATATGCAGAGCACACTGTATTAAACAATCTTTATTTTTTTAAAAAAATCATTCTAAACTATTCATAAATTAAAGTGCTTGCAATAGCCATGGAATAAGCTATTCTCTGAGGCAGAAGGGTGGTTAAGAAATGAATGAAAAGAAAGAAAAGAAAAACTGCTTTTGAAAAGTATTTTGGAGTTTCCTTTTAAAAATAAACTAATTAAGAAATGATATACTTGACTTTTGTAACTTTTGGAAAGTATCTTCATCTCATATTGCTCATAAATAAATATGATTATGTTTATTGGTAAAACCTGTCTTCCAAGTGTTAATTATCAATTGACTTTCAACTGCCTTCACTCAAAAAGTTGGGATACATTTATCTGCCTTAAAAATAGCTCATCAGCACAGGATATGCTTTATGACATTTTATATTAAGTCATTATTTTATAATAAAAAAATTTATAAAATTTGCCACAAAAGCCTTGGGTTCCAGATTTTGGACAAATTCTGTAAGTTAGTTCATTTGAGGTTCCTTGGTTCAAACATTGTTGCCGTATGATGCACCATTTTGACCAGTTAAAATTTATGGGAACAGGAGTTTTAGTATTAGGTAGATAGCTTTTGGTTGTATTCATATAACTCGGTTAATCTAGCTGATTTATTTTCTGTTATGTCCATTAGATAGAACCATAAACTAACCAGACATTCAAACAATAGCTGAAACACAAAATCTAATCACAGTTAACATTAACCAAGCTTAATGTATTTATGCATTTATATCTGGTACATTTTTTTCTAATCCAGGGTTGAATCGGCATAGCTACTGAAATACAACAATAACAGAATAGTTTACCATAGTAGAAATATATATAATTTCTAATAGGGCACACCAGAAGAAAGATGCAGTTTGCTCTCTATTTTAAAATCCAGCCTATTTCTTTCAGATGTGAGATTTGCAAATCATTCCATCATGCTGTAATCCAACTCATGATTTATCCAGTTTGCCTCACCATTTAAACGTATTTAGTATAAAACTAGAGCTCATCCAAATTTTTTTAAAAAACAATCACTTTCCTCATCTTACCAACCTAGAGTTCTCACATAGAAATTACTTATATACAGTATTCAGATGTATTTCCCTTCCTCTTCTAATAGAAATAGCAAAAAAAATAAAAATATGAAAAACAAAAATAAAAAATAGAGGCAGGGGGTGGCAGTATAGCTGTACTAGGAAGGAAAAAGAAAAGGGAAAAACAATAAGATAGAGATGGTGAAAGGTGGAGATAGCTAGACAAGGAGAGGTGGGGGAGGAAGAAAAGCCCAGGCATTAAAAAGGGGGTTAATTTTCCAAGTGAGGAGTTTTCTAAGCAACAATCAGTTTTCAATGGCAGCTATATTTTCAGAGAACTATAACTGAAAAATTCTCTTAATATCAAACTCAGTAAATATTGCCAGACAAAATGCCAAGATATGAAATAGTCCCAATTTTTATATTTACTTTTAGCTATGTGCAAACATAAATATAGTGGTCAATTAGTAACAGTCATCTATAAGTGGAAAGCTAATCGTTGTTGAAATTGAAGGTTCTAGCACAGGAAGTTATATATCCTTGATCATTTTTCATATACTATTTATATCTGAAATGATTGTCCACTTCCACCAAGTATGCATCTCTTGGGGGAATATACATGGAAGAACAAAGAAAGGAATTTGACAGCTTCATTGGTCAAATCAACCCTGGCCATCAACAGATTAATAGCACACCTTTATATCCAAAATTGAACAATATTTTTACAGCTGCATATGTACCATGTTTCCCCAAAAATAAGACCCTGTCTTATATTTTTTTGAACCCTGAAATAAGCACTTGGCCTTATTGCCATGCGCTCAAAAGCCTGAGTGGGCTCATTATCAGGGGATGTCTTATTTTGGGGAAAACAGGGTACCAGTTTTAAAAAGATTAACCCTACCTGATGCAGAATGCCAAAATACACATTTACTATGTGAGGTATTCTTTTATACGCTCAATTTACCTTCAGCGTAGCATCTATGTTGCCATTTTAGGAGAGATGTCTATGGAGATTCTCAATCATCTAGGACTAGGTCATGGTTGTCCTAAAGGTGCTTTTCCAAAAGGCAATTGGACTTTCTTGGTTTATTTCTTGAAAACATTTCACTTCTTACCCAAGAAGCTTCTTTAGTTCTAAGTGAATGGTAGGGAATGGAAAGATTTATATTTCTGGTCATTAGCACTCTGAAGTTTGTCATTAGCTTTCTGAGAGTTCTTGAGGCCACTTGGGGTTGATCTGTATCCTCAGTCACCTGAATCAGAGTGCAAATGGGTGTGGAAACTTCTTGGGACTGCAGTCTCATCCAAGAAGCGAAACATTCTCAAGGAATCAACCAAGAAAGTCCAGTTACCTTTTGGAAAAGCACCTTTGGGATTTTAGAAGATATTTATTCAATTTATATAACCACCCATTATTGTACATATTTATTATAAGATAGTCAGTACTTGCATGCTATAGAAATACTATATTTAGAAAATGGTACATGATTGAAACCCAGCCAGACTGACAAGAATGCCTTACTTTCTTCATCACTTGGTATCTTGCAGGGAGAATGGTTATAATTTCTGCAGCTATGCAGTGCCATGCTGCAAATGACCAAAAGTTTACACTTTTTCAATACATGTGATCCGAGAAGCCAATTGATTCTTATCCAGATACTTATATAACAGCTGTTTCTGTCCTGGTTTCAGAGGTTGAGATTGCCTTCTCTGCTTTGGCTGTTATTTACTTATTTTCCATATAGCAGTAGATCTTCCATTTCATTGTGCCTGGGGAAATGCAATACTTATTGGGTGAGTTGACCCTTTGATTACATCTTACACTATCCATTTTCTACACTGAATCAAATGACTTCATACTGACATTTCCAAGGTGATAGCAATAAAGGTTATTCAATCTCTAGCTATGAAGGAGAGTTCTAAAATATAATTTAAATGAAATAGGTTCCCTGGAGTTCAAAGCACAATAGTAAAAATAAATGCTATTATTCCTCTACAATTGGTACATGAAAAAATAGAGAATATAATGAATGCAATAGGTAAGATAGAACATTATTCCATCAGGATGTTTCCAATCTTAAGGTTAATTTTGGGAATGTAGCTCTTTGGTGACATTCAAAAAGGAATATATTGTATCCTCTATTCTCAGCATATTCCTCCCATGAGGTTAACACACAGGTCTTGCCAATGTTTTTGCTGCATGATGTATTTTATTCCAATGTTAATAAACATATGATCCTAACTGGCAGTAAAATAGCTTTATTATTGCAAAAGGTTTAGCTTAGGTTATACATATTAGAACTATGACTAACTTTCAGTGGTTCAAAAATCAACGTTTTGAGCAAATTCTGATTCTTTGGGCCAAGCTGAGATTCATAACATATAAATTAGGCAAATAAAGCACATTTGAACAAAGATTTCACATAATTTATCGTTTTTCTTGCTAGACCTGAATTTGAATAAAGCCTTGGTGCTTCTTTCTCACTTGAAATTTTTCTTTTTACTTTTTCTCATTTTCACCCTTCATAATTTCATCAATAATCATTTAGATACACGCAAGGATTTCTGCCTGCATATGTCCTGATACCACATATGCATGGCCTAGAATATGTATCAAAGATTTGAATATCTCTTATCTGTAGAAAATGTCATTTCTTTTTTCAATGGGTTCCACTAGTGGAAAATGCTATATTCTATATTTGAGTGACTTCACGCTGTATTCTTAAGAAAAATTAAAAAATTAAAAGTTGGCTGCAACACTTAAATGGCACTTTTTAAGGAGGTGCATGGTTATATTTTTAACAGCCAGCATGGTCTCTATACAGGTTGGCTTGATTAGGTTCTCAGGCAATAAAAATCCAAAATGACCTGTATCACGCAATTCAAAGGCAAATGAATAGTGGATTCCAGTTTTATAGGCCCAATCCATTGAACTCCCAGAACTCACATCTGGAAAAAAAGAAAAACATGTTTGGTTTAGGAAACAATTTGCTAATACATGGATCTACAACATTTGATGGGTGATCTCAGTTTCCCAATCTTCTGCAAAGGTAAGATGGGAAACCTATAAATTTTATAAATAAAATAAAAGGCCTTCACGTAGTGGGGTAACTGCACTGAAAAGAGCAGGGCTAATAGCTTCTTAATCACGTATGGTTTATTGCACGGTCAGCTAGATATTCAGCCTGGATTTAGCCTTTTCATCCACCTATCAAGTTCTTCCCAAGGACCTGGAATAGGCAGATGTGGATGTTTGAGGGTAATAAATTATTCGCATTATTATGGTTCATTGTATTGTCAGCGGGATATTCAGACTGGATTTGACATTTTTATCTACTTATTGAGTCCTTCCCAAGGACCTGAGATAGGCAGATATTGATGTTTGATGTTAGAGGTTACAGAATGTAAGCTGTTCCAAGTAAAAACTGATTTTTGCAATTGACTGATAGTGAATTTGTCAATGCTGAAGGTATTCAAGTGGTGTCCAGTTGTTTTGGGATTGCACCCAGGGGCTTATTACTATTGGTCCTATTTTTGCTTTCTTTTGCCACAGTCTGTTTGCAGGTCTTTGTATATTATTATCTTCTTTCTCTTCTATTCTGCTGTCTCCAGGTCCTGCCACATTCATTATCCAGACATTTTTGTCTTTCTTATTGACAATTGTTAAGTCTTGAGGTCTTATGTGGCAGGTGTCTGTTGATTTGAATTCCAAAGTCCCGCAGCACTTTAGCTTCTTATTATTTTAGGGTTAGAAAATGCCCCACCCTCATCTTTAATTCCCCCAACCCCCCAAAACAGCAGTATTTTGTCTTGGGGCAATTTTTAGGGCTCGAAGACTGAATTGTGGAAATGGAATGAGAAGCTTTCCAGAGACCTCCATCTGGGGAAAAACAACAATGCTCTGGCAAAATTTGGTGCTGAATTGCAAGGTTATTAGAAGGCAGCAAATGGGGCACTGAAAGTGTCATATGTGGCTTTCTCATCAGCAATGTCATTCTAAGGTTGTATTTAAGTTGCATTTTTAAAAGAAAGATGGAAAAAATCTTGGTATCTTCAACCCCAACAATATTTTGTTTAATTCCAACCCATTAAGTTTAATTGCTCCTCACATAGTTTTATAAGTGTATAATATTGTTCAAAACAGGTAGCTACAGCAACACTCCAAACAGGATTCTGCACTAAAGACTATACTTGGTTTAAGACTAGCTGAAGGCCAGATTTCAAATATTCATGTTTGGGGCAAGGACAAAATAAATACAACTTTATTTCATTTACTCTAAATGTAATTCTAATTTGATTATTCTTCAGCCATATATTTAATATTATAATATTTCTACACATTTATAAATCTGCAGTTCAGTAACAACTTTTGGATGTTTCTATAGATTGCACTCAAGGCTTTATCAAATATTTTTGAATATTTTGAAGGCCAGGCCAAAAAAAGCAAAAAGGAGGATAAATTTAAAAGAGAAGCATTTCTGTATTAAATTGTGCAATCCAAGCCATGTGTGTTTGGACTGTGAAGTAAATATATATGGAATTATGTGAGCATTAGTCATATCTTTTGCATAAAACAGCAATGCTCAATTTGTGGATGATGGGGAAAATTTTTTCTCCAAACATATTGAATATATGAGCTGCAATTCTATACTAATTACTTGTTTATCTTCCCAGCATTAAACAGTACTCCTTGTTACATATTGGTACAAAAAGCTAAAAGCATAACTACTCGGAGTTCGGAAGTAACTTATAGTTGGTATTTATTAAATTTATGTGCTGCCCATCTCCTCGAAAACAACTCTTGAGCAACTTACAAATATTAAAACGGGGGTACAATATTATGTTCTTCATTTAATATAATTTTAGATTTTAAAACCTTTTCTCTATCACAGTATCATCAACAGAAGTTATTTTTTAAAAATCCAATTTGTCAGAGACACTCACACAAAGTTCTGGAAGCAGGACCGTATCGATACCTTATTCCATAAACAGACTGCAAGGCATTTACAGCATTAACAGCTGCGGATTCCTGGAAGGTGACAAGGAAAAAAGAAAAATCAACCCCATGCATATTAATTATTATCTTCATAATGAATGATATAGGACAAAGATTACGCATTTTTTAATTTTATCCTTAACAACATATTGCATCTTGTGCCCTCTACCGCTAGTTTTGTTACCATAGATGAATTATTTTCATGAATATCCTTGCATAAAGTTATACCTTTCTGATTATGTGCATATCACTCATTATAAAGATCTGTATATGAAAATATTATTACTTCAACACCAGCATAATAGAAATATTGGATAGGCCATCTCATGCTCTATTGCCATGTATAAGAAGAAACTAGATCCCAATTAGACTGTGTTGTCTCTCCATGTCATATATGTGGGTATATGCATAATTTTGTATTTATTTATTATTGTGTCATATTTATGTAGTGTATATTGGAGGTGGAGACCCTTTGAGAGCTGTATGCAACAAAATTTCATTTTAATGTATGCCGATTAGTGTACATTCAAAGTGACAATAAAGTTATTCTAAGTCTAAGTCTAAGCTTTTCTATCCTCTCTTTTAGATTACATTAAAATGACTGCCCCACACTGCCAAGGACATTCAATTGGTTTGACTAAAGGGGAAGGTGGTTACTTGTTTTAAGGTTCCAGCTCACTTTTAAATGTTATCTCCTAACCAAGTTTAACAAGAGTATCACTCTGCCTATGAGAACAAGTTTAGGAAGTTATCTCATGCAAATAATTTGCAATCAATCAATCACTCAAGCCTGAAAAACAGGTCCTCTGTTTTTTTCTCTGTTGCCATGAAGATATATATACATACAGTATATAGCTAAAGTTATGTATGGGAACTTTTTAGCTAGCTTTTCGTGCCAAACTCTAGAACTGGAAACAATATGCAAGCCAATTTGATCTAGTGGTTAAGGCACCAGGCTAGAAACTGGGACACTGTGAGTTCAAATCCCACCTTAATCATGAAAGCCACCTACCGGTAGGTGACCTTGGACCTGTCACTCTCAGCCTAACTCACTTCACAGGATTGTTGATGTGGGGAAAATAGGAGGAGGAAAGAATATTAGATGTGTTTGCCCCATTGATTAATTTGCAAAAATAATAAAGATGGGATACAAACAAACATATGGTATTCCAGGATGCAGGTCTTTTAATATGCAGGTTTATTGCAAACAAACAATGAAGCATTTACAAAAGAAATCCAGTGACTGCTATATATCAAATACAAACCTTGTTTGTAGATACAAATGTATGCATCTTTTTTCTCCTATAAATGCAGTGCATTTGGTTTGAAGCTCCTCTTTAGATTATAGAGATGCTTGCTACCTGTCCCTTGTTATTATATTTTTCAGGCTGTTTATTTCTGAGTTGTCTTTTATACTTCAGTTTTGATTATGGGTATGTACATTATTTTACTAGAGTTTAATGTATTTACAATGGACTATACCTAAAAATGAGAAAATAGAATCGTTTAAAAGCAAAGAGAAATATCTGCAGAGAAACATGTTACAGAATTTGCTTTTAAAATTTTTATTTTATTTATGTATCAAATTTATGTAACTGCCCATCTCAAGGAAAGTTACTCTGGGCAGCATGTCAAATAGTTAAAATTATAAGCTGCTAGACAATTCAAAATGGTAATTTGTATAGCATGATGCTCTAATTATGCAATATATGTTACTTAAAAGAATTAACATTGTAAAAATACATATGCTGGCTTTTATATTTAAAAAAAATCACTAGAAATATGCAATATGAAGGAAGAGAGGAAGTGGAAGAGGAAGGAGGAGGAAAGCAAGAGGAGAGGGGGAAGGAGAAAGGAAGGGCAATAGCACTTAGACTTATATACCGCTTCACAGTGCTTTCCAGCCCTTTCTAAGCAGTTTACAGAGTCAGCCTCTTTCCCACAACAATCTGGCTCCTCATTTTACCGACCACAGAAGGACGGAAGGTTGAGTCAACCTTGAGCCGGTGAGTGCAAAATGGTGATTTACTTTGTACAAGTGTAAAATGGTGATTTACTTTGTAACTGGTTGTACCATTAAACAGTCTTCTACTTCTTAGTATTGATCTGAGAGAATGCTTACATTTGCTTCACTTTAAAAACTAAAAAATATTGCATCGTATGCTAAAATTAATTAGGAAGAACCAATATCATTAATGTTTCATAATATTTATTATTATAAGCTTTGAACACTTATTTGAATATGAATTCCTGTCAAAAAGATTCTTAATTCTGTTCATTTTAGAGGGAATTTGTCTGTTTTAAGAATAGTAACTTTATGTGCATATTATACTCCATTTAATATTTATACATTGTCATGTGAAGGCTCATAGTTTTGAAATATGCTGACAAAAGCATATAAAATATAAATCTTAACATTTTCTATTTATGATAATCAATTTATTTTGTATAACTTTTCCTCCTAAATCACTCAGTATGTAGCACTGTTATGCTGTAATTACTGTTATGAAGTAATTATTAAGATTGTTCTTTTGTTACTCTTTTTAGAAGCAAAATTATATTTCCCACATTTGAATCACTGGGTAGTCCTAATGTTAAAAAATCTTTTCCTACTGTTCATAAAACAATGTGACAGCAAACGAATGGATACAAGATATAATTGGGTGAATACACATAATTAAGGTAAATACACACTTTGTTACAATATTCTGTTGGGTAAGTTTCATTGGCTCAGTTGCTGCACAAATAACCCATATGGCATGGTTTGGAAACCTGAAGACTATTTGCATATGCCATATTAAGAAAAATCAAATACTATACAATTTCTTAGTTAAAATATGTGAAATCAATCTATGCAGCAGTGTCTAATCACAACGCATTTGTTCAATCCCTAATTATTCCAATTGGCCAATAGTGTCTCTTAACTCAAAAAGATTTCCCAGCCTGTTCAACTATATCTTAAAATGCAGTCCCTCACTCCTGCTCTGAAAATTTTTTCACTGAATTCAGTTCATATACACAAAAATCAATGAATGAAAAACTGCAGCAATAACCTGTAACTATAGCAACTATAGATTGCTACCCTGTTTCTCATCTCTGCTTTCCCCTTCCTCTATTTCCTTTTTACTAAATTATAAACTCAGGGCAAAGATATGAGTTCTTAAACTTTATAAAGTACAATACGCTGATGTAGCTATATAAACAATTAGGGGTACTAAAATGTAGATATAATGGGAAGTGAAATAGCACATGACTTATTTTTTTTTTACTAACCATGACTATGCTGTAGGGAAACACTTTTGTTCTCAAGAAGAGATATATTCTAGGCTTCTAAATGGAGATTTGCCTGCAGTTCCACATCTGTGGGATGAGAAGTGCACTAAAAATTACTGACCTAAATGCAAAATTCAGTTTTAATTTGGACACATTCCTTCAGTGGTTATATGCATATGTTACTGATTGATGAGCTGAGCTAAAAAGAGCTCAGCAGTCGTTCTGAATCCCAGGTCTTTGTAAAGGGGAGTTGAGAGCTATGCAGCTTTGGGCTTCATATTTTGATACTGATACTATATAGCAAAAAACAAAAACAAAAAAAAACTTGTTTTTCAGTTTTGACTATCAAAGTTTTTATTTTGAGGAAACAGCTTTTTGTGCTATATTTAACAAAGAGATAACTTTTTAATGTTGCAGGGCCTCAGAAATACCTTTGCTGCTGATTCTTTGCCAGACTCTTATCTCAAATGATACTGTATATACAAATTGGCAACAAGCTCTAGTACAATCCTTTTTTAAATTGCAGTACACAGAATGATTTCACATATTGGCTAAGCAATGGTTTACTTTAACCATAGTTTAGTGAATTGGCTTACAGTCACAATGACTGCATTGATATGGCACATTAAATCTCATTAAATACACTGTATGAAATAGATCAGGGTAACTTTATATAATATGACTGTAGCAAATGAATGAAAACTTCCAAATAACTAAAAACTGAAATAAACAAAAGAATATGTCTGCACTAGATAACATGTATACTGAGAGTTGTATATCCCTTTCTCCAGTTCCCAGACCTAAATAATTTAACACATTAATTCAGAGAGTGACTGGCAGCACAATTCTGTGTTGTAAGGTGGACAGAAGCCTGTTTGTCTTCAACTCACAAATTATTAAAGAATCCTCTCCTTGCTAGATGGTAATGTCCATGGAAAAGCTTTTGTCTCCTGGCCAACATCGACATAAAATAAATCTGAGGAACTTGTGAAATTGGTCCCAAAGGAAGCAATAGGAAAAAAAATTCTTTATGCTCTTGCTTTGCTGTTCAATGCAGGTCGCTGCATACTGTATATAAGCTGAAACTCTATTTTGTTGAGTTGCCTGTATAAGTGCGTTGTCAATTAGGGATTTCTTATTTGTGCAAACGTTCTCAATATTTGATTGTGACTTATTCTCTATTATCGTGTTCCTTCTGTCTGCCCAAAGGCTTAATAACAAGCTCTTGTGGCTTGTTTTTTTAATGTTTGAGCTTTGCTTTCCTGCTGCAGGCTACATATGCATAGTGAGGTACTGTTTAGCTCCTGGAGAGTAGTACTTTAAAAAAATGTTGGTATATAAGGATTGCATTGGTTTGCACATTGTTGATTGTTCTGACGAGACCCATCTCTGGAAAGGGAATTTTCTGTTGATTTTGCAAAGAAGGTGAAAACAGTGTACACACTGAGCAGGTGATCTTCTATCAAGCCATGGAAAATCTTGAAATGGGAATAAGAATGTTGTTTTCTTACCCTTTCTTTCCTTACTCCGTACAAATTATGGGAGTTCCCAACTATACAGTTCTCCAGGCTTGAAAGAACATTTAAGAAATACATTGCTTCTTCCAACTTCACAATTGAAAAGGAGGTCAAAGGATCATAGTGGCTATGAGTAAATTCTCATAATATGTGCTTTTCCTCCATCAAAGAGTCAGAATTATGGATGTTTGTGTATTTGTGTGAATATATACTGTGTATGTGTGTATTTATTAATAATACAAATGAAATAATACAAATTTGCAAGATACACTTTCTTTCTGCAGGGTATCTCCTTACATGTTTTAGAATGCTCCAGTTACCTCTAACCTTTTACACAGCCCAATGGACATATATATGGTAGACATATTGGCCATTACACAGAATAAGATTCCTCTTTCTCCTTCACTTTATTTCTCTCACTGTAATCCTGCAAATTTACAGTGACTGAATTTACATATTTAATTTAATTTAATTTAATTAATTCAATTTATATGCCGCCCTTCTCCGAAGACTCAGGGCGGCTCACAATACATTTTAACAAATCATTATAAAAAAATATTTAAAAATTAAAAACATTCACACCATTCATGGCTGGATCTCGCCAGATCACAAGAGCGAGATCAACGGCCCCAGGCCTGCCGGAAATGCCAAGTCTTCACCGCTTTTCATAAGGCCAATAGGGTGGGGATGGTCCAGACGTCAGGAGGTAACTGGTTCCAGAGAGCTGGGGTAGCCACAGAGAAGACCAACTTTGTGGGATCTTAACGGTTGCTGGGAGCTATGCGGCAGAAGGCGGTCTCAAAGATAACCTGGCCCTGAGCCATTATTTTTAAGTAAGCAACAATACGCTATATCAGTGATGGCTAACCTTTTTGGCATCGCGTGCCAGGAGGGGGCGTGGGGGGGGTTTCATGTGCATGCATGCCCACAGACATAATTCTATGCGCCCCATGCATGCACGTGCAACCCCCCCTCTCCCCCTGCTCCTGGCATGCGATGGCCCGGTAGGCCCTTTTTTCTCTCCCACCTGGCTCTAGAGCCTTTCTAGGAGTCTAGGGAGGGCGAAAACAGCCTTCTCCTCTGGAGGCCCTCCGGAGGCCAGAAACAGCCCATTTGCCAACTTCTGGTGGGACCGGAAGTTGGCAAGCAGGCCGTTTTTGGCCTCCGGAGGGCCTCCGGGAAGGGGGGAAGTCCGGTTTTGCCCCACCCAGACTCCTAGAGAGGCTCTGGAGGCTGGGGACAGCAAAAAATGGGACTTCCGGTCCCAGGTGAGAGAGAAAAATGGGTCTTCCCCACCACCCCCTGAGGCCCTCCGGAGGCAGGAAACAGTCTTTTTCCCTACTTCTGATGGGCCCACGCGTGCCATAGTTTTGCCATCACGGGGCTATACTATACAATAAACTGGAGCTAAAATCAGAGTATACAAACCATGATACTGTAATTGGATTATAGTGTCTTGTATTACAACCAAAATCAATCCAACCATATATAGTATTGACATAAAGCAATGTGTGAACTAACCATTATATGTCAATGCCATTGTTAAAATATATTCACTTGTCCTGCCTCCCTGAAATATGATTTGATTTTTTCAAAACGACTATCCCTTAAATCATTATGGAATGTATGTGTTGGAAAAATTAATAACTAATATGGTTATTTGAAAAACCTAATTTCCAATATTTTTGGGTCAGCTAAAAATAGCTTTGTTTTTCCTCTCCTCCACACCAACTCTGTTCCCTTATTTTGGATAGGACAACATAAATTCTTATGAAGTTTCTAATTATTCACTTGCAAAGAAGGAGTGAGACTCAGAAGCATATTCTCTTCACTGAAACAAAAAGCATAACTGGCATGCAAACATGCAGAATTCTTTGAATTCTATACTTACCACACAACTAAAATTTGGAATATCTGCATGCTTGTAAGAGTATGGATACAATAGCATTTGGGCATACGCATGAAAGGACAAATAGGCTTTCATCTGAGTCTGGTGTTTGCGAAGAAAATGAGCAACAGCCTTCACTTCTGGTTCAGATTCAGGGAATGGACCACAGTATGTATCGTCACAGGGATGAAGGGAAGCACCTTCATCTATATGTTAGAAGGAAACAAAATTATGATCTCCACAAAGTTAAACCTAACAAAAACATGGTCACAGGGCACACATATAGTACCAGACTGAGATTCTGTCTTTTGAACATATTAAGGAATTAAAATAATCCAGCTGGGACCAATGACAATAGATATAATCCCTATAGTACAGAAAATATTTTGATTCCAGGGTGGCCAGTTTTGTTAATAACGATGACAGGATGAGGCAGAATAACATTTCATAGGAATAGAGAAGATTTTAATCTGAAATGTAGAAGGCTTTTAAAGATGAATTAGTTGTACTACAGCACAACACAATTATTTTTCTAATTTTGCTACCAAAAAGTCATGCAAAGTTACATTCCTCTTATTTAGTTTATTGCCTAATTCCATTGATACAATTATTCAGGAACCAGAAAAAGATACTTCAAGGTTATATCAATTGTCTACCATTGTTCTAATTGGACAAATTGGGCCTACACAGTTCAAGTATTAAATCTGACTTGCGTATAATTTTTTGAGCAGAAGAAAGGCATTCTGAATGAGTCAAAAGTTATTTTCCCAGCGGGCCAAAACATAATTTAAGTGGACTTGGATATTGTTTAAAACTTTGATTACAGCTTCACCACTCATGTAAATTAAGAGTAGAAGTGGATAGACTTTTTATTTGAGCCAACATGATTCTTTTTTATGAATGATTTGGTGATGAGAAAAATGTAATCTGGTTTCTGATCAACAATTTAGGAATATTCTTAATCATAATCAGTAATGGATCTGCTTCACATTGGAAATACACATGCATAATAGTACACCAGAAAATTTTCTTGTGTTTTGACAATTGTTAAACATTCTTGTCAAAATATTCCTCACATATCTTCAGTATTTGAAAAAATGAGATGAAACACTCCACAATTTACCTAAAAACTGGAAATATTATGTAACTATTATTACCAAGTTAGCTTGATCCTCATTTTTTCAGCTAAGCAGCATTTACTGTTAAAAGAAACAGGAGAAAATCCAATAACTTGTAACTAAAGATGTAGATTTGCTGTCCCATATGTATTATTCACAAAAAAGGGCTCTATTCAGGAATAAGGAGACCCTGACCTCTAGATTTTACTGTGTAGAGCAGCTCTAACCAACAGAAGAAATGGAGAAATATAGTTTTCCTTTCCTGATAAAAAGAAATGGGAGATTTGGAAGTTTGTCAAACCATTGATATTTTGTTAATTTATTGCTAATTGGTTTGTCCTTGATTATATGTATTTATTTTGTATTTGTATTCTATGTTACTCTAGCCAGAAAAAGAAAGAAAACAGAATTGCCAGAAAAATGCTGCCTTAAAAATTTTAAAAAGCAAAACAATTAAAAAAAAAAAACATCATGGTTTTGAGTCCTTTACTACTCCAGAAATGGATTCTCATTTCTTTTTCTGTGTTGTGCTAAAATGTCACTGCCTCATGCTCTTATTTGTCTGTGCAAGCTCTGAACTGTAATTAATTGGAGCTTGGGACTTACTTCAGGCTGTGTTCTGAAATTATTTATTATTAATTTGGAACTCCCCATCTGTTTATCTAGATCCATCGACTTCCACATGAACCTGTTTGTTAAGCTCTTTCTTGGAGCTTATGGATAGGTCTGCTGAGAGGATACTCAAGAATGAATGATTTTGAATGATTTTCAAAGTCATATTTCTCTAGTGTTTTCATTACTATATTTTACAAGCTAGCAAAAGTCCATCTTGTTTTTAAGATTTAATCATTGTTCTCCCTGAAAATAAAAATTATTTTTAACTATTTCTAGTTTTAGCATTTAATATTCTTATTCTTATATTTGCTTTTTTAGCTGCTTCCAAGTCTCAATAATTAGGTGGGATATGAATAAATATTTGTAAACACACCAAAGTTTGGATGTTTGTTTGCATTGGGAAGCCAGGATGGTCATATAATAATAGTCTGATCAAAAATCAATGCCAGAACAGACAAAAGAGGGACTCCATAGTCAAAAGTAAAAAGAGGGATTTGATCCTGAAATAATTCCAACCTTATCATCAGAGTGCCATTACCTGTATTATAGACACATCGTTAATTTAATTGGCTAATGAGAAAAAAACATATTATTTCTAGACTTACCACACCATTTTACTTTCCAGTTACGATTAGCATCTACTCCATGGCAGTGGAACTTTGAATTCTTTGATCTTGTTTTCCTCCAAAATCGATCCTAGGCATAGATTTTTAAATATGAAAATACAACATATACACAGATAAAAGCACTATGTTATGCTTGTAACAAATCTTTTCACAGAGAGTGAAGTTAAATATTTAAACCTTTTTTTCCCAAACACACTTCTTTAATATTAATATTCTTAGTATTTTTCATTAATACCTTAATGTTGAATTATATCTTACCTGAGTCCAGCTAAAATGATATCCATCCACATTAAAAATAGGCATGATAAAGAAATGCAATTGATTTAGCATTCTTCTCATGGCTGAGTCATTTTGGTATGTCTGAAGAGCCTGGTACATAAAAATAGTTGAAATAATATGTGTAGTTCAGAAATTTTGTAATGTGATGTTTTCAGAGATCCTAGCCCACTTTTAACCTAATAATATAACTGTCAATGAAAGCTTAGACAACAATCAATTGATTAGTTTCCTATTTCCCAAAACATTCTTTGTCCTTATGGTTTTTATTTCCACAAAAGATTACTACTGAACTTCTGACACTAGCTAACCTCCTTCTTTGGGTACCAGTGAGCAACCAAAATTAAAGAGATCCAGACACTTTCCCTTGCTAAAGGCCAGGTTAAAGAGATAGGACTTCACAACTCTTCTGAATAACAGCAGCCTAGGGACCATCTGGCTCTCAGGGAGAAACTTGTTCCCAAACACAGGTGCTGCTACTGAGAAGGTGCACTTCCAAGGTTCTTAGAGGTAACATTTATTTGAAGGAACCCAGAGCACACCAATCTTGGCCATCTACTTTTTAAAAAATTATTCTAACTTTCCTAAAAACATGTATTAGTTTTTATTGTTGTTATGAAAATCTTTATAAAATTACTATTAAGAAAAAGGAATATTGGTTGGCAGCTGTAGGAGAGAGACTGGCAGAGCCAGAGGGAGGACTCCAAAATGATGGCTCATTTAAGTCTTCTCCCTGGCTCTCCTACAGCAGCTTGGCCAATGAGAAAAGAAAGAAGCTGGCAGTTTCATCAATGAGAAAATTGCTGACTTGTCTAGAGGCTGTCTCAAGCCTCAAAACTAAACAGAAGGAAGAAGCAGCTTGGATTTATACAGGCCATGTTGGATGAGTTACTGTATAGTCCATGACAAGGAATTGAGCATCCAAGACAAGACAAGACAAGACAAGACAGCCAGAGAAATTGCTACATGAAATTTAATTTCTAACCGCAATAAAATACCTTATGCCACCAGACTCCAAATTTTGGGCTTAGACAATTTAGAAGTACGCCGACTTCAGTCTGACCTAAGCATAGTACATAAAATTATCTGCCACAATGTCCTTCCTGTCAGTGACTACTTCAGCTTCAACCACAACAATATACCAGCAAATAATAGATACAAACTCAAGGTAAACCACTTGAACTCGACTGCAGAAAATATGACTTCAGTAACAGAGTGGTCAATGCCTGGAATGCACTACCTGACTCTGTAGTTTCTTCCCCAAACCCCCAAAACTTTAACCTTAAACTGTCTACTGTTGACCTCACCCCATTCCTAAGAGGTCTGTAAGGGGCGTGCATAAGTGCACCAGTGTGCCTGCCGTCCCTGTCCTAATATTCCTTTTTACTTACTCTTTTCATGTATTCAAATTATGTTTATACTTTTACCTGTTATATATGCTTGACAAATAAATAAATAAATAAATAAAAATAAAATTTTTGCAGTCAGAACTGTTGCTGTGGGCAATTGGCAAGGCAGGAGCAGAATTGGTTTGAGTCAAATAGCACGGAGCTTTTGAAATCTCATGCACACATTTAAGGAGACTGTGCAGTCTCTTGCATACAAATTGAATAAGCCTTTGTAGAAGACACGGGGAGATTCATCCCCCACTTCAATAACTTGCTATCATTTAACATTATTTACATATCCACGTGACATGTAAATAATGTTAAATGTCCATCTTAGTGTTTTTCTAATGCAAGCAATGAAATTTTTGGATTTTTCTTTATTCTGGTGCCCAAGGATGGAAGGAGGAAGTACCCCCCCACACACACATCCGTTTGAAAATACGGCAGCAAGTGTGTTTAAAATAAAGGGTACTGACGGAGTAACACTTAGGAACCTCTGAAAGACTGTAATGGTATTTGGAAATGACCTGGAGAGACAGGAGGGAAAACTGCAGACTGGAAAACTGGCATGTAAAAGATATTTTAGTCCTCAGAAGAAAGGAGGATGTGGGAAACATTTCAGAAGGGACCCTCCTTAGTTTTCTGGAGAGTAAAAGGAAAGGAGGTGAGAAATATTTTCAGTCTTGCGCTATAACATTAACATAAGCGTATAATAAAGATAGTACTCCTGGTTGTGTTTCTTGCTTGGACAATCTCACAGGGCTAACAGGGATCCAGTTTCTTTAAAAAACAGCTATACATGTATTTTATGCTGCCTTTTCTAAAAATCCCAAATAGCTGAGAATAAAACATGTTATATTCAAATATGTTCAAACAAAATGAAGTATATCAAGTCGATTCAGAACTAAAATAAAACTACTTCTCCCAGCATGCTTCTAATTTCACTCTTCACCCTGAGGCCTGTTAGAAAACCATAGGCTTCACTGCTTTATAAAATTATAACTGTAAAGGGATATGTTATTCGAAAATGAGGAGACCAAGAAGGCCTGTTTCCATCTCCCTTCCCCTTCACTTCTTATGCAGAAGGAATTCTCAATCTGCCCATTTATCCAGCACAGACTGGACAAACAGCATCTGTCTCAGACTGTCCCAAATGGAATGAGGATCTAAGTCATAAAGAATCATTGCTAAAGAATAATAACCAGCACTTCGACTTGGATATGGGAGCTTTTGGCAACCAATGGACTTCCAGCAAAGTAGGTATACCTCTGCTATATTTCTGTCCATATGAGTTTTATTTATTTATCACATTTATATAGCTGCCCATCTCACAAAAAGTCACTGGACTGTGGACAGCATTAACAAGCATATTTCAAAAGATTAAATTGGTGAAGGTACTTTCTGAACTTTCCATAATTTTATGGTAATAGTATAATATTGTAGTTTCTGCAGTTTCAGAAACTAACACTGCAACATTCTTCATCCAGTGAAAAGCAGGAATGAACTATTTTTAAGGAGTTATGAAAGCAGGAATGAACTATTTTAAGAATTTACAGTTTTATTCTTTTAGTTTGCTAAAAGAACAATGCTTGCCTTGAAGCCAACAAATCACTTATCTTGATAGAAGATAATGTAATTTAATGTACTTATTAGTTACAGTATCTGGGCTCATTATTTCAGACATCCAATTAGTATCTTGCACAAACTCCAAATTTCATTTAAGTAAGCTATTACTCAAAGGCACTGCAAGCATCTGTAGTTATATAGATAAACATGACTAGCATGCCTCCTTGTGGTGGTGATAATATTGTACTGCACCCTGATTTTGAAGACTATGCATAATAAATTAACATACTATAAGCATATAATGTGTCTATATCAAGAAAGTCAAGGGGATATGTATGGCTCTGCCCTTCTCTATTGTTTACAGTTACTTTGAAATAAGGATCACCAGTCAACAGTAGAAATGTGTATCTCCATTTCCTTTATACTAAACTAAACACATGAAAAGGACTAAAAAGTGAACAACAGCACCCACCTTCCTTGGCAGGAACTTAGGCACATTTGTCAAAGAAGAGCAAGATCTAAATGACTAACTAACTAAAATAACAAACAAACCATAAAATGTACAAAATGGAAATACAATGAATCCAGGTAAAACATAAATGAGTTATGTATTATATTTTCTTCAAAGAATATTTTTTCTTAAGTGCTTGAGATTTTTTTATAGGCCATAGTCAATTATTTTCCAAAGAAAATTATATATATATATATATATATATATATATATATATATATATATATATATATATATATATACCATATCTAATATATTTACATCTTTGTAAAATTCTTGAAATCTTTATAATTGAGAGTAAACAATAATATTGAACTATGCAATATCAAAGCCACTGCTTTTCTTAGTTCTCAACAACTTTTATCTTTCCAAATGCAAGACATATTAAGAAAAAACATAGGCAGACTATCCTCAAGTAATGGAATGCTTCTAAATAAAAAATAATTATAAGAAAAAACAAAAGATACTTCTTAATCCCAATTGCTCCTAATCCTTTAAAACATGTTTATATCATACTTCACAAGAGAACACCTTGCAGCTTCTCATTTATATTATAATACCTTCTAGAATTTCCTAACTTCAAAAATAGGTTTCTGCAGTAGTTAGACCCTGTATCACATCTATTCATTTTTGTGAAAAGATAGGATATAAATACAGTAAATGAAATCCTTAATAAACAGAGAGATTTATACTGCTGCAAATCTCTGCACTGTCCAGGCCAAGCAATTACACAAAAGAAAATTAAGCTTATCAATTTATTTGACTGAAGTTGGGAACTCATTTCATCAGCACAACAATATGATATTATTTTTATGCTCTTTATTATCTTTATTCTCTGTGAATTTGTCAACAATACTTTGTCAAATTAGAGATTTATCAATAGTTGTCATTAAGACAGGGAAACTATAGGTTGCACAATTTTATTCTTATTTAGCAAAGACTCTTTAAATTCAGCAGTTATGGTGCTAACAACATTTTCACCACTTGGAAGGTTGAAATATCACAGATATAGATATATAAAACCTAGTTAAATATCATAACAATTCACCTCTGCTTTCATAACATACTTTGCATAATAGACAGAACCTTTTCTGATTTCAAAATATAACGATAGTTTTTAAAAAATTATCCTTACTTCTTTCACAAACCACTGGCAAAAAGCTGGACTGATCCATTCTCTTGCATGAATTCCACAGTCAATCCACACAGCTTTCTTATAAACTCTTGTTCTTTTGCCTAGCTGCAATTGTAAAAACACAAAGATGAGAAAAAGAAAACTATGGGTGGATGTGTTCTGTCAATGACAGACGGCAACTTAGTGAATGTGGAACAGAAACAGAATGTGGAAATACTGTAGTAGAAGAAGTACGTCCCCTTTAGCTTAATGTAGTTTCTTATGTCTTTGGTTTATGAGTTTATTACTAACAAAAATATGTACTTTCATTTCACAATAGTTCCAAGAGAACAACATACTATATTACTAACCTATTTGACCTGTATTTTTTGTATATGTTTTCCTCTCTCTTGCTAAGTGGAGAGATTGTTTAAACAAGCTCTCTCTTCCTCACTGGATTTTTTTCTGTGGTGCCTCCCTAATAAGCACTAACTGGAAGCTAACAGGCTCCATTCCATGACATTAATAAATAAATTAGAATAGGCTACTCTAGCCAGGCTAGAGTAAATTAGTTACTCTAGCCTGGCTCAGGCTACTGGCAAATCTCTGCTTTGATCTTGGTAAGTTAATAAGTGACAGCTTTCCCCTCCAGATTTGAAGAAGCATGCACGTAGCATCAGAAAGGCTTGGTGCAGCCAGCTTCTGCCTTATAGATGGCAAAGGTCAGCTGGGGCAGCAGGGCCAGAACACAGGTTGGAGTTCTGGCCCTGGAGTTCAGATGGAGGCACTTGGGTTTTGCACTGTGGTGCTGGGGTGGCCAGCTACGGCACAGGTATTGAGGTGCAAGTCCTCAGCGGATCTAGTGGCCTGAGGTGACCGATGAGGAGTACCACTATGCAGGATGGTTGAAAGATCAGAGATGAGGAACGGGTAGGTGGGTGAGAGAAGTTCAAGAGGAGTAGGTCTTTCTGAGGCTCAGGGCTGGAAAGGACCAAGCTGGGAATGGTTTGAATCAAGGTGGGTCCTTGGCTAATGAATGTGATTCTGTTAACAACAGCAATGAGGACTGCTGGGGGCTGCTGTTGCTAAGTAATACAGTCATGTGATATCACATTTTATGACAGCATTGCTTAATAATGTAAATTCCATTCTCAGTTGCTTTCATTAACTAAGGACTACCTGTATGCACACACATTTCCTCTTAGTTAATTATCCCATACCAGGGATAACCATTGCTAAGGGTGGGAGAGTGGGATAAATATCTGTCCAGGGAAATATCTTCTTCACAAGTCAAATTCTGGAGACTGTTCTCACCACCTGGGTTCATTGCAGCTGAAGAACTGCCCTCATGGTTTGAGTATATTTAGGGACATTTATTTAATAAGCTTTCTCAAAGTTTTGTTACCATTTAGGCAACTCCTTTGGTATACATCCTGAACATTCTAAATTAAATACCAAGACACAAATTATAAGGAATAGTTCAGTGGTGAAATCTAAAATTTGTTACTACTGGTTCTGTGGGCGTTGCTTGCTGGGGGGGGGTAATGTGACTGGGTGGGCATGGCCAATTTTTTTTAAAACCATTTTTTCTACAACCTCTTCGGCAAAGAGGTTGTAAAAAAATGCTTTAAAAAGACTCTGACGAGCCCAGCTGAGTTGCCTGATTGGCAGAGGCTTTTTTTCTTTTAAACGCCTCTGCCGATCAGGCAACTCAGCTGGGATCATCAGAGGCATTTAAAAGCATTTTTTCTACAACCTCTTCAGAAGGTTCAGAACTTCTTGAACTCCTAGGATTAGATTGCAAGGTCTTTTCCAAGTCTATGATTCTTATTTTCAAGCAAATGTGAACAACTGTTTATAGCTAACATTTCTTTAAAAATAACATGAATCTGTGTTTTTATATATAATAGGAGTTGCTATGTTTTGAGCAGAGCACCATAACTGGCCTTTAAGTCACCTTCTGTGGTTACATATTGGAAAATACTGGAATAAGCAAAAATTTGATGAGTCTATTTAAGTGGAGTCAGTATGAATTATTTCTGCATTTAAATTTTTTTCTCTTCTAATACATTAAAAATATTATACGCTATTGGCAAGTTTTGTTCACTCAAGGTTTTTAGGGATTGTAAGTGACACCCTGGGCCCTCAGCTTGTGATTTCCGATATAGGGCAGATATACAGTGTTAGATTTTGCTTCCATAAGTATTTCCTTATTCATTTATCTTGATACTACCTCATTGCACCAATAATGTTTTGTCAAAATTTACCTTTAGCACAAAAAGTGGTCTTCCCTCATATGACTTGCCAATAGAGAACATGTAAATAAGTTCAGAATGAGTTTTGTTCAGATAATACATCCAATTTTGAATCTGGGCGGGGAAAAGAAAAAGATACATAAATGTATGATTTTCTTTTGTCACTGAATAAAATAAATATAACTATATACAATAAGCACAACAGAAAATAAAAGTTCTCATTTTCTGTCTCTTACTAGGCTTTCCAATATATAAATTTTAAAATCTTATATCAAAGATTAATTTTTGTTAAGGAAGCAAAGAAAAATGTTGTTTCGCTATTTCCCTGGGTTTTTCTTATATAAGAATAAAAACACGAGAGTGCAAAAATATATAATACATACTTCTTCCAGGGAATGATATATTTCATAACTATATTCTGGCAATGATCTACGATTCCTGGGTGGCTTTGAATCACTTTGTTTTTCTATAGTTTTTTGCAAATCAGATATGAGGACTCTATCAAACAGAAAACAAAAAAGAAAAGAACACTTTAAATAAATGCATGGTATAATACAAAAGAATTGAAAGTTACAATATATAGCTAAAGTAAACATTTTAACACTGTACAGACTATTTATGACATTTAATAAACCCAGGAAAATTGACTGTAAGAACATAAATGTAGCATGTTGTAAAGCAAATATTGTGTATTGGAATGCAGCAATAAATTGAAAAAGACAAACCCCAAAAACAAAACAACAACAACAACAACAGAGAAATGTGGTTTAATTGATTGAAGAAACAAATAAAAACTAATTAACCAGCATTTAAAGGATATTTTCTTCATCTATGAATGGTAATAAAATACATGCTCAAATGAAACAATAACTACACTGCAGAATCCAATCTGGGTCGGTCACCAGGACCAGAGTTTTTAAAACTCTGGTCCCGGTGGCCGATCCAGATTAGATCCTGCAACATTATCTTGGGACATGTATATTCGCCTTCATTTGTAATAACTACAGTATTTACCTAAAGGAATATGTGTAATTTATTCTCCCAATAAGTAGCTAAAAACTGAGGAGGTGCAAATGCCCTCAAGGCACTGCTGCTGAAAACAATGAGTACTTTTGAAATTTAAAGATTACCTGGGTTGCTTGGGAAGGCTGTTTGCCGATTTATTTCCCCCCCAAAAAACTTAAACAGGGATTCATAACCCTTTCTTGAATCCTTCTATAGTTATAAACCGAGGTGGCGCAGTGGTTAGAGTGCAGCCCTGCAGTTTGGCAGTTCAAATCTGACCTGCTCAAGGTTGACTCAGCCTTCCATCCTTCCGAGGTGGGTAAAATGAGGACGCAGATTGTCGGGGGCAATATGCTGACTCTGTAAACTGCTTAGAGAGGGCTGTAAAGCACTATGAAGCAGTATATAAGTCTAAGTGCTATTGCTATTGCTACTCCTGTTATCTTCATCAGCCAAGTAACTGGACAGGTTCATACTGGGAAGTCAATCCCTCAGCTAGCCTCCTTGGTTTGCAGATGACAAGTTTCATTTTTTAAACATGTCATTTTCTTAATACAAAAACTTGCTGGCGCTTGTTGTCAAGAAAGAAGTGCCAGCAGTGTGTCAGGAATACTTTAAGCACCCCAGAATTAGCTACTATGCTCAGGTTTTGCTAAAATCTTGCCAATTTCATGTGTTCAAAGGTGATTCTTTTAGCCATGAGACCTTTAGAAAGATTGAATATATAATGTCAAGAAAAATACAGTTACAGGAAAAGTTACGAACCTGTATGTCAGCTTTCTGAATAAAGTAAGATTTATTTACCCATTATAATTTCCTTGACAGACAAATCCTTATCCTTTCCATCTAAGAGAGAAATTTGATAAGTGCTTGTTAAGCTGCGCCACTAATTGTTATAATGTGACAGGTGTTGGCTGGCATTGTGCACCATAATAAATGTACATTCAAGCACATAATTTAAAAACATGTGGATACTCGAAGTTACAATATGCCTGTACTAGTGACAATTACTGCTTTTTTAACGAACAAAAGGAGGTCCCTGCACTAAGGAGACACTAGTCTACAATATAAAGAAGATTCTATAATTGGATGTTTATCACAGGAACCCTTTCCGACTTCTCTTCAAATAGCACTTAAAGGATACTCTCAAATTATTTAATTACAAGGACATGCTAGTGTATTGATTATTGCTTCTAATAAAACTTAGGAAGAAGATTTTAAAATGTAATACAAAAGACTTTCTGCCACTAAAATCCATGCTTACGTATATTGGATGTTTGCTTGCTCTAAGGAGAACTGAAGAATCTGTGAACTATTTCTTGACAGATGTAGATCTGTAACTGCACCCTTGGAGATGAGAGACAGGCTGCTTGGTTGCCACAGGTCCACCTGTAGTGCAGCAACCAACCTGTAATTCACATTTGTTCAGTATAGATTGGAAACACCCCTGATATTAAGAGATCAAAGAGAATATCCTCTTAAAATTTTCAATAAATAGCAGAGATTATTGCTGAATCATTAGTAAACAATTTGTTGAGGTTTTCTGCACATTGAGAAATACACATATTTAGAGTATTAGGGCTTGTATTTTCATTTTCAATGGAAAAAAACCCAATCCAAATTTGAATTATTTTAACCCAGTCCTGTATCTTATTTTACCTTAAAAATACTGAAATAAACCCTGTAAATAAGCACTGCATAACATGGATTTGTTTTAGCTTTCAAGTGTGTTTTTAATCTTAGCACATCAGACTTTCCCACTTAGCAAACTCCAGGTGTGTTTGCATTGCTGGTTTAATTCTAACAACTCTTGTTCCAATACAGCTCTTTGCAAAAAAGTATGTTTTCCACTGAGGATGATAATTTTTCACAAAATATTCTGCTAGAAAAGTAGCTAGATTACGATATGACTACATATAGGTACTACTCATAAAGAAAGTTGCTCAAATACAGTTTGAGGGTGGCTTGTCACGTCACAATATAAATAGTTCAAAAACATGGGAACCATTTAGTACTCAAGTAAACACAGCAATTCTTCAGGGCCAAATTGTCTGTTTGCAAAATGTCCTATAGCAAGTGCTTTGCACCATGCAGTAAAAAAAAAATAATAATCTGGAGAGACCAAAGCTCAATGGTAGTTTTAATAGTGTTTTGCATCAAAAGAATTATGCTTTAAATAATGTGAAGACTTGGCCATGGTTCCTAGATTAGAGCAATCTAATTAGAATAGTACCAGGGTAAACAGGACAAATAATCTAAGATAATTTTGTACGGATTCCTTTTAATCAAAGGTTGCTTGTTTCCATCAGCTCTTTCAACTAGTTAAATATTATAATTGGTTAACCAGAACCGTAAGAATTCAAGATCCTTCAGCTTTTGGTGGCATATATCATAGTAATCCTTTACACCATATATTGAGAACTTGTAGTCTTGCAAATGTTTGCAAACTATATCTGCCAGTATCCTTCATCAGCAGTCATGCTGGTTACTGCTGTTGGGAGTTGTACTTCTGTAATGTTTGCAGATCCATAACCATCCCTGATGAAAATCTCATTTCAGATCATTTGATTTATATAGGCAGAAAGTGCTATACTTCTTATGATACAGTACACAGCAATGCAAAGCACACACTCACTTTAAGTTGTTGAGAAAGAATCTTCAACGTCTCTGCCATTTGGTCATTCTCTGGTATAATCCGTATCACCTTATGCCTGTAAAATAATATTAAAATGAAATTCTAAATAGGATATTATTATAGTGTTGGAAGAAATATCCTTCTGGGTTCTGCTCCAAGTGGGGAAAAAGACACTGGAAACATGGAGACTGCTTGGAAAGATGGTTTAATGGTGGACAGGATCACATGGTTTGAGTTCCTGAACAGAAAAGGGCCGAGATACAGCAAGTCCCCGGGTTTTATGCTCTCTCTGGCTTTGAACTTCCTGGGGCCCCGAAAGAGTATCCTGATTGGTTGTCAGACTCCCAGAAGGTGGGAGTCTTAGCTAGCCTTGCTGGCTGATGTAATCTTCCCAGGTGCCATGTGGTGAGTTTCTGTCCTAGATGGGCCCTATTGTGTTGCAGATTATGGCCCATTAACAAAAGTGTGTGGGGAGGGGGCAGGAAGCTGCTTGTCTTTTAAAACATGTTTCTCCATTTCTCATACAGGGAAACATAATATTCTGCCTTTTTAATATTTCCCAAAATATTTCATTCCTCTAGGAAAGGAGTGGGTGCTAACTTCCTACAATAGCAAGAAAATAAAATACTAAAATGATGTAACCCTGACGCAGAAATAAAATTCTTTAATCTATATTAAACTTTCTTAACCTGGTATGCTCCAGATGGGTTGATCTTCAACTACTATAATTCCCAGCAAGCTTGATCAAAGGCAAATACTAGCATTGAATTTCAGCACATGTTGAGTAGTTCTGAAACAGACTGAGCAATGGAAATGCTTTCTTCTCGCATGTATTATTTATTATGAAGCATTTATGCTAACCTGGATTAACTAGATCAGCTCATTTTGGCACAAGAGAGCTAGGACCAGGAAATCCAGCCTTGTGTCAGCTGCTAGCATACTTATTTGCGCTGAGCTTTTCCCTAATACAAGAATCTTTCAGCTGTGCTGTACACTTTGATGTGTTCCTTTGTTCTGATTCACCGGAACTCTCTCTTCAGCATAGCCCTTGGCTTGACTGCTACCTGCTGAAACCAGGTTGAGGAAGGCTTTCATGTGTATCTAAAAAGGAAATGTAAAGCAATAACCCCTAAAAACAATTTCAGTAACATAATGGCCATTTTACACTTGATAAGCTGCTCAAATGCATTTTTTTAAAAAAAATTTGATTTATATGCCGCTCTTCTCCGGAGACTCAGGGCAGCTTACAATGTGCTAAGCAATAGCCTTCATACTTTTGTATATTTATACAAAGTCAGCTTATTGCCGCCACAAACTGGGTCCTCAATTTACCTACCTTAGAAAGGATGGAAGGCTGAGTCAACCTTGAGCCTGGCGAGATTCGATCTTATTTTAATTGCAGACAGCTGGTGTTAAATTACAGAGCTCTGTCTATTGAGCTATCCAGGCTCCTTTTATTATTATTTATTTATTATTAATAAACTACAACCCATACTAGACAATGAACTGCAGATATGCTATACAGGTATGCCTTTTCCCTTACATGCTCTCATACTAGAGAGCTTTGTGGTTTCTATTAATCAGAGTCCATTTCAGATCAAAAAAGGATTACCAACTCATGTCACATTACAAACCATGTATGACACTGTTGCTTGTCAGCTATATTGAACACCACTATACGCATGCAAAATATTCAAAGAGACTTGGTCTGAGATTTATAATACTAAAATTTGAACTCCACTAGATTAAATGAAAATTTGAAAAAAGGAGTGATGTCTGTAGCTAACATAATCTAATGGACAAATTATTGAATTTATCTATTTTACCATTCTGTGTAAAATATATAACAAATACGTTATTTTTATTGAAGTAAGGTTACATTTCATTGTATACCTATACATTTCTTACTTCCCATTTTGAATTGTCTAACAGGTTATAATTTTAACAATTTCACATTTTGTTGTACGCTGCCCAGAATATTTAGAATTCAATTAGTTTAACAGCCCCTGAGCTGGTTTATATAGATAATGGGGGTGTGGACATAAAAGAACCCTTTTTCAGTTAGATTTCAGTCCCTTTAGTTTCTGTTTTGTCCATTAAAGGTTCAGGCCATTCTGTTCCCATGATTAACAGAACTGCACTGCACAAAACTAAGCTATATGAAGACAGCTGAAAAGCCAAAAGGATTAAAAAGGGCTGTGAAAAATGGCAAAATATGGCAACCAATCAGAAAATGATGGACAATAAATAAAACACCAAAATTTAAAAAATCAAAATAAACATAAGGAAAATTAAGTAATACATTCTGATCAATATCATCATCAGTGTCCAAGCCTTCCTTTGCCATAATTCATATCACAATGTAGTGAATTTTGCATACTTTTAAGGGAGCTCACCTTTGAATAAAAATGCTAATGATTACTCTGACTAGGCTAGAAATTATTCAAAAAAAAAATATTTATTTTTATCACACTAAAATGTACAACTACCTCTCCAAGTCTGGGTTAATATAGTCCCACAAACACAATTCTGCTTTCTCATTATTTTATTATTTATTCATTTATTTCTTTTCCTGGGCTTGCATGTCACACTAATGGACATTAACTCTGAACACCTTACACACCCATTATCTGTAAATACTATTAACAAATGCAACCATCCCTGTACACTTCCTCTTACAGTCGAGGCTCCTTTGTTTCATTAGTCCTACTGGAGCAGCCAGATTTTAAAAAGTTTCCTAAATCCCAGGAGAGACCATGCTGTGCCAAAAAAGTAATACTAAAGGATAACATTATTTAATTAAAAAGCCCAATACTACTGTATTCAATTATACTTATCCCGATAATAAGTATAGCAGTAAGGACACGTTGTCTCTAATAAGCAAGAACTTGGTTTAAACACCAGTTAACAAATGTGAGTGATAAATTAAAGCAGATTTACCCAGCATAGCGGTTGTCGTAAAGGTAACTTCGTCCGGGCATCTCAGCCCGCTGCTGGACGAGGAGCAGCCCAAAGGATAGGAAAGAAAGCACCGGCTGGGGAAGTTTCATAGTTGTTGCCGCCGCCGCAGGATCCCGAGAGAAGACGGGACAGGACCTTCGCCTCTCTTGCGTGGAAAACGGAGCAGCTACTCCGACGGACGAGGTTTGGAACTGGGAGGGAGGAGCAGAGGGTGGGACTGGGATTTCTTCATTTGAGAGAAGTGTGTGTGTGTGTGTGTGTGTGTGTGTGTGTGTGTGAGAGAGAGAGAGAGAGAGAGAGAGAGAGAGAGAGAGAGAGAGAGAGAACACAGGAATTCGGAATAGGAGTTCTTGCCGGTTGGATACTTTCCATAAATTAATTCAAAGTAATGAGCATCTTCGAATGGACTGTAACTCCATCATTCCCAGCATTGGTTAAGCTAGCTGGTGATGATGAGAGTGGTACTCCAACAATGAACGCACCAAGCTTGTGCAAAAAGGAGGGAGGGAGAAACAATGGATGGAAACTAATCAAGGAGAGAAACAACCTAGATCTAAGGACAAACTTCTTTACAATGAAGACAATTAACCAGTGGGACAGCTTGCTTGCCTTCAGAAGTTGTGAATGCTTCATCATTGGAGGTTTTTAAAAAGAGCCTGGACAGCCACCTGTCTGAAATGGTAGAGGGGGTTAGACTAGAAGATCTCCAAGGTCCCTTCCAGCTCTATTCTGATTGAAGTTTCAAAGTGCAATATTGCAGGAAAACTCTGCCCACAGCCTGGAGTTTGATCTTGATGGGGCTTGAAGTTGACTCAGCTTTTCATTCTTCCAAGGTTGGTGGGGGCAATGAGGACCCAGATTGTGGGTGGGTGGGGGGCTATTTGTAAATAATGCTTCTACTTCGTAAATCATCCAGAGTGCTATAAAGTGCTAAGGAGCAGTATACAAACCTAAATGCTATTGTTATTCCTGTTATCCGAATCGAAGAGCAGCATAATTGTACCAGTGATTGCATAAGTCATTCTGTGTCCTTACAAAAAAAAATAATATGCAGATTATATCTATCTTCACTACAGACAACATGAGATGGTTGCTCACTCCTGTAAAAATATCTGAAGATATGGGCCTTGGTTTCTTTGGTATTCAGAGTAACTGAAAATAAAGATTTCCCGATTGCAAGAAAATGAAAGCTTTACCATCAGACTGACATATTGCTTTCTCTTGCCATTTGACAGTTTAATTGGCAGTGCCTCGTGTGGTGGGTGCCTGTGTGTCGGCAGGGTTAATCCAGGGTAGCACATGTTCATGCTTTGCAAAGCCCTTGTAGAGAAACAATAATAAATAGCTGGAGGCAAGTGGCCAACAAAAGAATGTGCTTTCCATTAACAACAATTTTTAAAAAATGGCATCTTGGCTTTTTTCAGTTTCCAAACAACATAAGCTGGATGGCAAAACATCTTATCTGTTTTCATCCAACAGAGATGAAACTGATTTTATTTATATTACACAGAGTTCATCAGTTCAGAATCTTGAAGTATTGCAAAAAAAAAAAGCATAATATAACTTAGCCATGATTTAAGTAAAAATTATTTCTCTTACCCTACTACTGAACATGGTTCCTCCTTTAGGGGGGGGGGAACAACTCCAAGCAAATAGGACATTAAATGAAATGGGAGTCCCTAGCCAATTTGTATGGGTTTAACTGTTTCCCAGGATAATACTATTGTATATGAGGAATAAAAATTTTCTGCAGTAGGCATTCTCAAACGATGTATTACTCATAAGGAAGGCTGAAGTGCCAAAGAATTGATGCTTTTGAATTGTGGTGTTGGAGAAGACTCTTGAGAGCCCCTTGGACTGCAAGGAGATCGAATCAGTCAATCTTTAAGGTAATCACTTCTTCTTTGGAAGGACAGATGCTAAAGCTGAAGCTCAAATATTTTGGCCACCAAATGAGAAGGGAGGACTTATTGGAAAAGACCCTGATAGTGTGAAAAATTGAGGGCAAAAGGAGAGGAGCAACTTGGTGTAGTTTACATGGAAGAATAGGTATTTCAGGCATGTTTTTTTTGGGAATAAACCTAATAATTTGTGGGACTGCCTCTCCTTAAAGACATCTGCCCATTCTACCAGGACATCTGACCATAGGGCAGACATGCTCCTAGTTCCCTTCCCTTAATGTTATCATCTTATGGGACTGAGGAAGCATGTCTTTTTTTAGTGGTGACTCTGCCCTATGGAATACCCCTTCCCTGACATTCAGCACCCCCCTGCCCCATATTTTTAACCTTTCAAAAGGCACTCAAGACCTGACTTTTCCCTCAAGTGCTGGGATAGAGTGAGATTAATTTATTGTGAACTGCATGGGTAAATTTAGCTATGGTGCCAGGTCTTTTGGTTTTAATATTTTTTATTGTAAATAGATGTTTATTTTTTGATTGTACACAGCCCAGAGTTTGGTACAAGATGGGCAACTATATGAACATAAATAATACAATAAAATAAAATGCAGAATTAAAAGTAAATAGTGAATTTCAAATTAAACTATGGATTAGAAAGACAAGTACTGTGCCCCTTCTCTGTTCTAAATTTACTTGGAGCCTTTGTGAAATTATTGATTCAAAATATTATTCTTGCTTCAATTATATGGGGATAATATAATTGATTTACCTTTCAGATTTATTCAACTTTTTCCCATTTAAAATATTTATTACAGAAAAATCAATAAGGAACATTTGTAGGAAGAGCGGTTCAGTGAAATGATTAAGGCACCAGGCTAGAAACTGGGGGGCAAGAAATAATTGACAAGCCAGTTTTGAGAATCATGCCAAGAAAATTAGTCTAGGCAGTTGCCAAGCATCAGCATTGACTCAGAAGTGTGCACATGTGTGTGTGCATGTGTACACACAGAAACACATACACAGGAACAAAGATTCATTTATAGGACAATGTTATAGGAAGGGTGTCAGCAACCCGGGGCTCCGGAGCTGCATGCGGGTCTTTCATCCCCCTGCTGTGGCTCCCTATCGGCTGAACCCACCACTGGCTGGCCGCACCCCTCACCCTCCCCTTCCAGTCACTCCTCGCCTGGCTTGAGAGAGAGGAGAGGGAGAGAGAGAGAGAGAGACACCCACACCCACACACAGAGAGAGATTCCTGTTTCCCACAGAAAACATTGGGAGCCACAAAATCTGGGTAGGCGTGACTGGGGTGTGTGTCATGTGACTGGGTGGGAGTGTGTGACATCGAGTTGGCCACACCCACCCAGGTTTTGTGGCTCCCGGTGTTTTATTTTCTGTGGGAAATGGGTCCAAATGGCTCTTTGAGTGTTTAAGGTTGCAGACCCCTGTTATAGGACATGTCTTCTAACAACAGATTAGCCAGGTGCTGACCTTTGCACATGGTTTTTTAATAGTAAATGTAGTTAATAGTGTTTCTGAGTCAACCAATTTTTATCTTTTTCTCATTTGAATGTAATATAAACTATTAATTCCATTTTAACTATTATTTAGTAGTGTAGTTTTTTAGCTAACTAAATTCTAAATTCTAACTAAATTTTAGAATTTAGTTTCTAAATTCTATGCATGAATGCAGTTAAGATACAATAAATTGATAGCACGTGCCACGTTTTATCACAATTGAAGCAAAGATGTGTTGCAAAAACAAGGGGATATAATTCATTGTTCCTCTTTTGCTGACAATTGGCTTTCATCTCTGAAAATCACAAGAGGCTACTGGTCCTCCGTATGATGTCCTACAAATATCTTTAAAAGTATTATTTGATATGCCCAAGCAAGTATGAGGGGAAAAAACCCTTTTCTTCCACTAAGCAGTGGTTTATTGCTCATTATTGAATTATATCCAGTAGCAGATTATGAGCAGGTTTTCTTTAATTTTAGAAGCATGAAATTAGAATCAAGTTAGAAACAGTGTAATTTTCTGCCATCTAGTGTCAGAAAAAAAGATATTGGGTTTGCACAATTAATTGAGTTCATACTCAATTGTACCCATCAATAAACTTGTTTGGGGGAAACATTTCACCCCAGTCAGTAATATCAGTTTAAGTAAACTGTTGATTAAATGAACCATTTGTGAGAAACCATGTGAAAAATAACAAGCTTTTAAGAATGTTTTTTATAAAGATCCCAGTTTCTGATTCCTGTTTTTAAATACAAGGTTGGTCTGTAATAAGGCCTCAGATTCATCTTACGTGCAACTTACACCCATTTTCAGACTGGGAGGCCTAGGAGGAGAAGTCCCAAATTGCACATCAACTGTGATCGTGGAGATGCTGTGATGGTTGTGAATGTGAGAGTCAGAGTTCCAAGTAATAACCCCAACAGAAATAAAACCTCAAGGCAGGCATTTTCCTCAAAGTCCCATTTTATTAGAGGTGTCATATTGGCACATCTGGGAAAACCTGAATCTGAAGTCCCCCGGGTTTTCTCCACCCAAAGCAGGGGTGAAATCTAAAATTTTTTGCTACCGGTTCTGTGGGCATGGCTTAATTAGTGGACGTGGCTTGGTGGTAAGGTGATTGGGTGGGCATGGCTTGTTGGTCAGGTGGGCGTGGCCAAGTCAATGTCACTTCTTTGCCCTTTTTTAACCTAAAAAACACAACACAATACAACTGGCTCACCCACAATGTAAAAGCAGCTGTGCTAGACCCAAAATGGTCCCTGCAACAAGCAGGAACCTCACACAGCCACAAAAAGCCCAAAAAAACAACTTTCACACTTGACACACACAAAATTCCACATACAGCTTTGTGAGATTTTGTGTGTTTGTGTAGTTAGAGTGAAACCCTACAGAAACACACTAAATCTCAGAAAGCTGCACAAATATTATTTTATTTTATTTTTATTTTTATATAAAAGCTAAATTTAAAACTTCCTAAACTTTAAATGGCTAGGTCTAAAAAAAGAACAACTAAAAAAAAAAACCTAATTAACTATTTTTTTAAAGCTCCCAAAGGGAAAAAAAACTTACCCAATAGAACAGGGGTCTCCAACCTTGGCAACTTTAAGACTTGTGGACTTCAACTCCCAGAATTCCTCAGCCAGCCATGCTCACCGATGAGCTTTATTGC